GAGAATGCCTTTTAAAAATATATTTGAATAAATGCGATGTTTTGGTAAAATAAACAACGAAAAAAAATATTATTTTCACATACTTTCAAACGATTTTGATGAAAAGCTGAATATGAAACAAACATAATTTGTCACGAATTTTTATTTCCCGATTTTTTTCCCCCAAAAGAAAAAATAAAACCCAAAAATGTCAACTTATGAATTGCTAAAACATTTTTTTCCCCATTACACATCTACAGTAGATTAAAAACTTAAGACAATGGGGTAGTGAAAAATATTTCTAGAGTTGTATTAAGCGGTTTTTTTCTGACATATCCATCAAAAAGAGAGAAAAAATACGCCTATCAGCAAAAAAGATTGGGGAGGGGGGATTATAGAACGGGACTCTACAAACGAAAAACCATAACAATTAAAGTTGGTTTTTTTCCCCCTTTTATTCGTATCGACATTTCAAAATTCTAGACAGAATTCTCCAGTCCGATATAGTTATTGGATACGAAATAAAAAAATAGAATAAATAAATAAATAAATAAAGACTAAAGGGTGGGGGAACAAAGAAAAACAATTCAAACAATCAAAATGGCAAGAAAAGCAAACAAAAAACCTTCGAAAAGAGCTGTGTTATAGAGGGGTGGCATAAAAATACCGCTGGAGACCCCCGAAAAGTCGATTTGTTGCTTCGGCATGCACCAGTTGATGACAGGTTTCCACCGGTTCTATAGGTATCTGGTGTCTTGCCTGACAAATGGACGAAGAATTGGCAAGCATCCAGGCAGTTCAATATCTCAATACGAGGTAAAACTAAATAGGAAAGGGCATGTTTGAACCAGCCTTGATGTTCGATTCCTATGATCATGCCAGCAGCTTGTTTTCTTTTTGTTCTTTTTTCTGTTTTCGATAGAATATGCTTCTTTGTATCTTTGACCGTCAAAGGTGATGGTTTCCCATGTAATTATTTATCATTATTATTTGTTGCGTGTCACATAGCATTTACTTCTTTTTCTTTGACACTTTGGATATATTTTTGTTGCATTCGTGGGGGGAGGAGGGGCGAAGGTAGAGAGATACAAGGCAAGAAAATCGAACCGCCTCTTGGTGGATATGCTAATTTGGTTTTATGTTGGAATTATTTTTCCTTTTTTGTGAGGATTTGGAAAGCAATTGCAGACAGATTTACTGAAGTAACAACTTTTCTGTCTCCTTTAGGTCTAATTTTAAATTTTAAAAGGTTTTATTTAGGTGTTTTACGAATACATTTGAATCATTTTCAATTTTCCCGCAACCCTATTCAGTACGATGTTTTAAAGAATGTTTTTTTTTTTTTTTTTTGGAGGGAGAAGTACTTTTTTTGTGAATATTTTGTTTCAAGATGGATTTGTGTTCTCTTTTTCTTTTTTTTAAGCGTTAGTAGAATTTTCATCTTTACGGATTACATAAATTTCCCCTTTAATATTTTGTTCTGAATGCATTTATATTTTTTATTTTAAAATATTTTATCTCTTGGGTGTTAAATATCTACATAAATTTTACACGTATTTATATTTAAGTATACCAAGAAAAATTTACATAAATTGAATTACATAAGTTCCTAAAATTTTTAGTCAAAATAATTATATAGATCTGTACTAAAATATTTGGATAACGACGTTTGAAATCTGGATAATTTAATGTATATTATATAAAAATATTTAATTGAAGTGCACGTTAAACCTCGTGTTTCTTTTTAAATCATACAATTGCTTGATTATAATTTAAATAATGGGATACACTTGACAGGAGAGAAAGTATTGCGAAATTGATATATCTGAAATTATTATATATGCCTGATTGTCAAAATTGGAAATATTTTCTTCGGTATAGTTCAAGATATACCCATTTATATTATTGACTATAGTTATTAAAGAACCGAAGTAAAGTTTTTAGCGAATAAGCATTTGTTGCAAATTATATCTAATGCAACTTTAAGTAAGTTATAAGTAATGTAAGGTTTATCAGTTGGTAATATTTTTTTCATATATAGTTTGATCATTTCCAAATATTTTCTAATAAAAAAAAAGTCAAAATTAAATTTGCTTCTTGATGGTAAATGATACATCGTATATTTAAGCAGATAAGACAAGCTGTAAATCTTCGACAAAGTTTTATAGTTTTGGTACTTATCTATATCCTATAAAAGAACCCCGAGCCCCACCGTCTCCCCAATTTTCAAATGTCTATGAATTTAGGGTAGTTTAGCGATTTTATCATCTAAAACAAACTTTTCCTACATCAGTATAAATTGCTATCTTGCACTGATATGGAATATGACAATTTCTTATGGGATACTGATGATGAATGTAAAAATGGACTCACACACACACTAGGTTAAGGTATATGTTGAACCTCTCAGCAACGGAAAAGATGTATTTTAAGAGTTATTTACCTAGATGAGAAAATGGGGATTTCTAGGATTTTAAGTATGATTTGCTAAGTCGTATAATGGTTTTAATTCGCACAAACTTCAAAATATTTTTTTTGTATTTTTTTTCTCTTGGTTTCTCTTTTTGTTCTCTCAGGATTTGGTGGTGGTGGGGGAATGATTTTTCTTCCTTTTTTTGGTGGTAATATATGGTAAGTCCCAGTTTATACAGTTTAATATATTAAAAAAAAATGAGTAAAAAAAAATTTTTTTTGGTCGATTTCTTATAGGGAATAAACCTCTGTGATTCTTGTTCTGCAAATACTAATATTTCGAATAAATGTATTTTCAAAACTGAAATAATTCCTTTTATAAATCTATTTTTATTATAAACTAATCTGGTTAATTTTTTTTAGTATAATATTACTGTAATCTCAAGGATTTGTTTCTAATCACTCATTATTTTAACACGTTATTAAAATGTTTTGAATATAACATAGATAATTGATTTGTGGGAAATTAAATGCGTTTAAAAATAAGGCTGTTAAATTAACTTTATTTCATAATTTAAGTATCGCTTACCTGACTTTATTATCCTGAAATCTAGTTTATATTTCATCGAAAAACATTATAGGCAATACCTTAAATAATTCAATAAAAAAAAATTCAATAGAGAAAATAAACTTTTGAATTCTGGTTGCTTTAACTATATACCTAGGTGTAAAATAAAGCTAGAGATTTATTGTTTGGAATGGTTTGGGATGGTTTGAATAGAATATCACCTGTGTTTGGCGTCAAAAATAAAAGTCGTTCGAGTAGTTAAGATAAATCTGTAAGAGAAAAAAAAACTCGAAGTTTAGGGGGAAACCATTAAATCAGATGTTAAATTTCGACAACCAAAAACGCCCGAGTAAAAACTATTTAACAAAAAACGGGGGTAAGAAGTTAGATCCGAAATAGTTTAGCTTTTTCTCTTCCAAAAATAGTTCTTGACAGAAAAGATAAACGCCTACTGTATAAATTCAATCAATCGTAAAGTACCTTAAAATTTAAACACCGAACCCCGCCATTGAATTCCAAGAATTTGCTCATAGATTTTCACATAGTTGGATTATAGCTCCTCGCTTAGAAATTCCAACAAAGTAAAAAAAAAAGTATGCGTCGGGCCCTTAAAAAATGAATCTCCCCTGTCGAAAATTCGATAGAAAAATCAAGCTCACACCTAGACACCACGGATTTTTATTTCCCCCTTGATTTCTTTTTTTTTTTTTTTTTTCGTTCGTGTGCAAGTTCTATTCGATAGCTTAAGGCGATGGATCATTGAATACTGGCTCTTTGTAAAGCTGTGTCGAACCAAAAATTCTCCAAGAACTTCTCTCTTTCTCTCTGCCTCTCTCCTTTTTTGACTTTCTTTTTACAGAATTTTCTCTCTATCTCAATAATCTGGATAGTGCACCTCATTTAATGTTAGCTTCTCTCCTGAAAAGAGAGATTATGTGGCTGACTGGAGTTATTTGAGGAGTTAGAGGGACCTCTTTTTTTTCCCTCCTCATACCCCCTTTTTTTTTGCTTTCTGTCTTTCTTTTTCTGCTGGAGTTAGTGGAGAGATTTTAACTTTGCAAGTACTCCACTCTGAAAATGACGAGCGTAACTCGTTTAATTTTTAAGAAGTGTGAAAGCGATCGGGTATATTTCTGGAGGGGAAAAAAACGAGGAAAAGTCGGGATAGAGAAAAAATGTGATTTCGTGATGTTTGAAGTAGTTTGTTCGGTAAGAAAGACATTGGATATTTTTGTGATAGTTTGAAATGAATGGAACTTATTTCGCTGGAACATTTTTTTTTGAACAAATTCGATTCTATCTGTACAAAATTAGATGATGCATACTTAAATATTCTTCATTAACTAGCAAAATGAGAAAGTAAACTAACAACTTTTTTCTTCTTAACATATTTTATGCATTTGCTTATAAGAAAGTTTCTGGAATATGATATTGCCAGAAGGTGACTGAAACTCCGTTTGGGACCATGATTTTACTACCGTATTTTATTTTCTGTTATTTAGTATCAGTTGAATTAGAATATAAATATAGAGTTGTTTTAAGAATATTATTATTTAAATGCATTTTTTTTAAAAAAAATGAAGAATGATATATTTTTAAACATTCTCCTTTAATAAAAAAGCTTTCTATAATAATAATATTTTGCCTATATATATATATATATAGCCAGAACTTAGGTACAATGCTTGAACAAGAATTTCTGGCAAATTGACATTATTTTCAGAGTTTGGATCAATTGAAATAATAACCGTGCAGTCTTTTGTTCAATTCTTACCATTTGTTCACTCTCTCCCCTATATATATTCATTTATTTATGTACATATATATATATTATATATATCTTGTTCAGATTTCCAATCGTTAATGAAATACATTATATTCATCCATTTAAGCTTGTTTTCCTAAGCTTGTATGGGTGACACTTGATGTTAATACAGTTTTTATAAATATAATTCATTAATTAAATTAATAAATGAAAAAAATAGTAACAAACAAAACTAATAGTCTAACAGCATATATAGAAAGGACAATCGTTCAGCGTGTTCCAGTAGCACAACGGATAGTGCGCTGAACTTCTAATCCGAAGGTCGTGGGTTCGAATTCCAACTGGAATGGCCTAATTTCTAAAAATGTGATTTCTTTTTTTATCATGCTATTTTATTACAATAATTAAATTTAATTAATGAATAAACAGTATCAAACAAGAAAATAGTCCAACACCCTTTATAGAAAGGAAAATGGAAAACTGCAAGGGAAATTACTTTCTATTTTTTTCCTTAATATTGTGATTTTATTATTTGTATATACATATTTATATTAATTGTAACTATTTATAATAAAAAGTAACGAAAATAAAATTTTTCTTTGTTGACCTAAGTAGGAATTGACTGAATTTTATTTATTTTGTATTACTTGTTAGTAATTCATTCTGATGTATTATAATATGAATAAATAACCTTCTAAATTACACATTTCAAAAATTTTGGCTCTCAACCATGTCCAGAAATCCTAGCTCTATATATATGTAAAATATTATCATCACAGGAGGTATAATTTTCACAAAAGAAGAATATTTTGAAAACTCTCGTCATTCTTTTTTCATTTTTTGAACTTATTTTAATTGCATTTAAATAGTTTTTTTTGCAAGAATATTTTTAAAACAACTTTAAATGTATATTCTAATTCAATTGACACTAAATATAGAAAAAAAAACTGTTCATTTATATGCTTTTTAAGAAATTCGCGATTCCAAACGTATTCAGTCACTTCAAACAATTTAAGCTAAAATTAAGTTTTGAAATAAAACTAGATTAATTTTAAGAGGATTAAGAATAAAATAATCATTATATTGTTTTGATATAATAACCAAGAAAATAATTATGCTGTATTATTTTTTCATTTACTGAATAATAAAAGAACAGCATCAGAAAAAGTGGACAAACTAATGATTCGCAGTTTTATTACGACATTATCTCAATTTTTCTAAGCTTTATTTATATATTAAATTTAAAATTTAAAAATTTCGTTAGTGACCAAATTATTACTTTATTTTAATTAACTGTGAATATGAGTTACATCTAGTTATCTTTTTTGGATTATGACGATAGCATTGTATTGAAAATTTTGACTTACAGCATTCAATTCCGTGTTTTTCTTTCAATTTGGAAAAATGAATCCACTATATGCTTGTTTATATTTCTTCACACATTGTCGGTGTATTGGTGATTGACAGCTTCTATAGGTATAGAAAAAAATCTATATCAATTAGGATTGCTTACATGCAAACTAGGATTGCTTAAATATACCCAAACCACGCACCCATAATTGCCCCTAATTACACATGTAATATTATAGGTCTTATAATTTTTGCAAAACGCCGGCTATGTGGCGTAGTTGGTTTGTCGCTGGCTTTGTACACCTAAGGTTGCGGGTTCAACACTGGCCCAAAGCGGTGGATTTTCCTGATGCAGAAAATCTACAGCGGCCATGTCGCATGATCATGCAGCATGTAAAAGATCCCTAGAGTGCCTATTTGGTTTGGGTTTTCTCTGCCAAATTAAAATCCTGACTTCAGTTTTGCATTGCCAGAACTCAGGTGCCTCCCCTTTTTTATTATAGAAAAATAATAATAATTTTTGCAGAAACTTTGCAGATCATCACTGTTATGGGCTTTTATTATCTTTTATTTATTGATATTTATAAGACAACAAATTATATGTTTAGTTATTTAAATATAGAGGGTTATATTAGCTTACGTTAATTATTTCAAGAAATAATTTCCTTACAATTCCTTCAGTTGACGTTCCACTTCTTGATAATTCCCAAATTAAAACAATTTACTTAGTATCCAATAGCAAAGCGATTTAAATATATAATTGAATTTGAGTTTCCTGATCCCAAAATATTATCGTTATAAACATAATGCATATTTTCAGTGGTTACAGATATAACAATCATACATCAATGCCATCTAGCATTTTAAATGACAATCAGTGACATATAATTAACATAACCTATTTGATATATGACTTTTCAGTTAGACAAGAATACGTAAAAATAAATAAAAACTACGCAGCCTAATTATGATTTCGCATTATATTCATATAACATAGATGCCCCAAGTTCTGTGAATGCTAGTTTCAAATGTAATACATTTTTATTAGTTTACCTGTATCTGTAGATATTAGAATATTGTTTCCCATCAAGTCACTTTTGTCTTTTTGTATTCATAATGGATACAGGGTGTTGTTGAATGCTACCGACAAATTCAGAGGGGTGATAGTAGGTTGCAAGGTTACGATAAATCACCATAGAACATGGGGTGGCAAAGCCCATTGAATAGATGTAATTTGTAAAAATAGTTATGGAGGAATGAAAAAAAGCCATAAGAGGTAAGAAATATATTTATTAGACGTAAAGCATGCTTACAATACGAACAATACTGGTGAAGGTGGTATGGTGTGGAAATCGTCTCTTTGGAAAATGATCCTAGTACGTTCTCTGTGCTAAGCATCCTTTGCTATCGGCTCGGCCGTACGTGAGGTGCATATCCACACATTCCTCGTTCGTGTAAGCCAATATTGTTTTCAAAAGCAGTTTAACAACGACACTTTTTTTAACACTCGCTTGTGACAACTTGCTAGCCGCTTTTATTTCCTCCAGACAAGTTGAAAATTTCCATACGTGCAGGTTTCTTCAACTCTACCATGGCGCTCCAAATTCCAGTACTCGTTTGGTCACTCACCTCTTCTGGCACATTGTCCTGCTGACAGCTACTATTATCACGATTTTTACCAACTAAATGTGGTTTGCGAAACCTTGTTCTATGATTATTCGTAAAGTGTGAGAGATAATGTTGGAGTGTCAATACTTATCAAGTTAAAACGACTTTCTACATCGCATCAAATTTATCTGCAGTAGATTCTCTCTCACGTAGAAAGAAAAAATGAAAGAAGAAAAGAAAGAAGTCTAGATGAAAATGTGATATTGCAGACACTTTGGTCAAAGCCGGTTCTTGCGAGGTACCAGAGTCGTCAGCACCCTTCACCTTTTTGAAGATTTTCTCTAGAACTAAACACCGAAATAAGACTGCTTGGATTGTTCCTCCAGAGCACCATTGGTATCAGTGTTCTCGTCCTGGAGGCTCTCTGGCTCACAGTTTTAAAAAACAGGATCAAACTCTTCTAGCCCGCTTTCGAAAAGGCCATCTTAAAACAATGAAATTCTCCGAAGGATGCAATAGCTTTGAAATGTGTATGAACTGTTCCTCTAAACCAGTCTCACTTGCTCACATCCTCGAATGCCTAGGGCTCACTAAGCAGGATTTAGCAGACGATCCCTTGCTGGTGTTGGATTTTTTGAAAGTGTACGAAGTCATGGACCTGGTCAAGCACTGCTAACCAATGAGGACGTGCAACAACCTGATGATTTGTCGTCATGAAGCTGCATACTATCACTTGTGTGAATTTGTCAATTGAATTCGACAACACCCTGTATTTCGATTAGAGTATTTATTGAATATATTTGACAGATATAGTTCTTAAGCAAATCCTATAATATGTGGTTAAATAACGTTCTTTATTTAACCTATGTAGAAATTTTGTTATTAATTTTCATTTGTTTTATTCTAATATAATTTACTTTAAGTATTTGCGGAAGTCTTATTCATCGGACACCCATACGCATATTCTATCAACGATTAAAATATCATATCTTACTTTAATTACTACCTAAAAAAATTTTTTTCAGTCAAGAAATTCAAATGAAAAAGGTCTCACTCAATTAATCTTTAAGATTCCAAATAAAATATCTTTTTCAAATATTCCAACTCTGCATTTGTATCACTCAATGGAATAACCCCCAGAGAGCAATTAATTCAAGTAATTATGAAAGATCTTATCCGCGATACACCTTAATTATAAAAGACTGCACGTTTCCTTCCCTAGAGACGTCATCCCCTAATACATCTAAATAAAACATTCGTAGGTCGTATCTGTTTTTAATCTTTCTTTTCATTTATGACGGGTAGGAGCGAAAGAGGCGGAAGCGGTACAGAATGATGAAGACTGTCATTGTAGATGTCTGTGTTTATTTATCTTGTCGTGTGTGATTCGTTTATAATAGAGAAATGATGTTTTAATTCCTTTCAGGGGGTATAGTTTTTTTTAAAGGTACGAACAGTTGTTAAATTTGTTTTTAATAATTAGTTTAGAAGTATTTGATAACTGTTTCGAGTATTTGTGGAGGAAAAATAGTTTAATAAAATTATAATTGGATTTTTATTTAAGTATTTCGTACGTAATAAGAAAGACTCACGTTTTTGTACGATTATTTTTCGAAATTAGTATAATTTCTCAGCTTTGGTTTTTAAAAAATTTATTTTGAATGATTTAGGGTAATAAAAGTTATGCTTCATTTTATATTAAAAAATAGGTTACAATATATTTTATACATTTTTAATTTATCTCTGAAACTGTTGAACAGTGTATGTATGTGTATGTGTATGTTATCACTATATTACTGATGTGATTTTTCTCACCGTTGTATTACTAATGTCATGCCGTTAGTGATTGGTTCATAAAATGTCTTATTCATCATATATAACACTATTTACAAAAATATGTAATTTGAAAAGACACGGTACTAAGTATAATAACTTCGCCCAATTTCGCCAAACAAAAAGACATCACTTTTTCAAAAAATGTCGCCCAATGCTGCTATCGTTATTATTAATGTGTTAGAAACACGAGCAGGAATGAATTCCACTATTGGCTGTATATCGCGACATTAGGCACCGTAAATTGATTTGACGAAAATGGTCTACAGTATAACAGGTAAGTACCAAAATTACACAAACGTGATATACATGTAAGAATATCATAACACTCATTATTCATAAACGTACGTTGTAATATTCTTCAATGCATAGAAAATGTTATGCACATTAGAAAGAAGAAAATATTTAAATATATATATATATATATATATGTTACCGTTAAAGTGTGAAATCCGTTATATCATAGAATAACTGGGCCTGGGCATTTCATGAAATAACTAGACAAGTCAGTTTAAGTACATAAAATTATTGAATTCTACGATTTAACAAGGTATTATA